TCCATCCCATCATAGCACAGGCCTTTCAGAGCGTCCACATAATCCTGAGAGAGTGACGTGAAAACAGCAGTAGATTGAGACAGTTTGCTCATCAATCTCAACTGCAGAGTATTACTCTCACTCGCGGTCAGGCTGAGCTGGAAAACAGGTTGCTATGGTTACCTTGTTCAGCCCTCGACAGTTGAGAAGTGCGACCAGCTGGTGGAAGTTGCCCTCAGTGGCGTTGAGGATCTGCTGCACCTCCCTGAGTGACTTCTAAAAGGGAAATAACACAGTAGCTAAGCAGCATGTTGCATCCACTTTACTGTACGGCTGCTATTGATCTTTCCTGTCAGTGAAGGACATAGTGTGGTATTGATGGCAGTGGAAGCAGTGTTAACATACCTCTGCCTTTGGAAAGCGTGGGAGGGCGTCTCTCTCCAGACTGGAAAGGTGAGAGTGGATGCTGGAAAGCGCTCTCTGGGACTGGGTCAGTATCTTATGCCAGTTCAACAAACAGAATTTTGCTGATTTAACTGAATTTCACAGGCTAAAAACTGTAATTGCATTTTTAATTCCCCACAAGGCCTGTTTCATACCAAGGGTATTATAATTCACCAAAACTATAAAAAAAACATTACTAACATTACTTTCATTACTTGATTACTTGAAATACAATAAATGTTAACTATACCACTAAATGTTAATAACCAAATGTTAATATATAAATACATGTAAATACAGTATATATATTTTTTTTTTTTCAGCTAACTGGCAAGGCAACATTTCCCATTTTCATTTAGTTTCACTTTATGTACTAAAATAACTAATAACTAATAAATGAGGAAATTAATAAAAAAGACATTATATTACATTGTCAAATTAAAATGACAAAAACAGAACAAAATTACTAAAACTTTATATAAAAAATTATAATAATTAAAATAATATTAATAATATATAAAAATCATATAAAATAATCATATAAAAAATCTAATTCAAAATATTAACCACAGTATATAAATGATACTAAAATAACATTGTTTCACACCGCATGCATTTAAAGGAGTCATATGATGCAATTTCAATTTTTCCTTTCTCTTT